GTCCTGATACGTAAAACCATAGAACTCAAAGAGGGTGTACTTTCTTTTTCATACGACTGTACCTGTAGATTTCCAGGTGCAATTCAAGGTGCTGGTTGTCACCTACAAAGCCCTTCAAAGCCAGGATATTTGAGGAATCATCTATCTTCAATTGCCCCTCATCCCCAATAAGATCAGAAGGGTTGACATGCTGCGGGTCCTGCCTATTAAATAGTGCCATCTGAACGGAGCCAAGAAGCACGTCTCCCGGTCACTGTGCCTGTCCTTTGGAGCAGACCCCTCTCCCCAGTAGAAATAAAATAAAACAAATGAATAAACATTTATTTTCTTAGCTTTCCCTTCTTTTATTTCATATATTGATTTCATTACCCAGTCTTCATTCATCCTCTCTGTATCACCAAACTATCCTAATGTATTTATTTCACTCACATGGGCATTCAATCCACATTCATTCAGCACCCATTCATTCTTGTTTTACCACACACATCTCCTACCTACCCCGTATCTACTACATCCAACTTACTTTGATGTTTTCTTTGAAATACTCATGTCTTAATTCCATATAAAAAAAGTGGGCAGTCATGCAGTTAATACACAGCCATTTCTACTTTCCTTTCTCACAAAAGACTACATACACATTTCTGTTATCACATTTGCATATCTTACAGTCTATCCAACCATTTCCCATCAACTCTAACTATACCAGGTTGGCCAGACTTAGAGGTCCAAGGATATTAAGTAAGCTTCTTGGTCAAGGAAGCAATTGAGCCTATCTCATTCTGTTACTCTACCTCAGCCTTCTGCTGGCTAGAAATTCTTTTCCAACACCTCTGGAGGGTGGTAGATTAGAGAAGTCCACTCTAATTAGAGGCTTTCCATTGGCTCAAACACTTGGAGTTCTTGGAGGGACAGGTTTAAAGAAGCCACTTAAATACAAACAATGAACCTAGGAAAAGAATTTTAAGTGCAAGCAAATGGAAAAAAGTCAGGTGTGTGTGTGTGGTGGGGGAGGGGTTGTCTACAACTACACCAAATAGAGTAAATGGTTTCTTGTTTCAACCTCAGTCAGTGACAATCAAGATATCAAGTCAAAATGATAAAGCTATGCAGCTTGCTCCTATGCATATTTTCCTCAAAAGATCCAGCGTTTCTTATTTCCATTAGTATAACTAACTCCTCACACTTCAGTGGCACTTTGTAATGTCAGTCCCATCTTTCAAGCTAAGCAGACGTACCCAGTGTCACCGATCTCTCTGAATACATGGCAACAGACAGCTTTCCCATTTTTGAGAAATAAACAGGTGTCCTAATGAGTTGTAATGGACAAGAACTGTGTGTCCCACCTCACATATTACTAATAAAGCTATGAAATCAGAATCTGTAAGTCAAATAACTTCTATTGTTAGTTTCTTGTGTTAGGTTTCCTTTGCATTTTACAGGTCACCTTAGGGGTGCAACAGAAAGCACAAACATTGGGGAAAATAGGCAGTGAGAACAGCATATTAAATTGTCAATGAAAGAGACTGATAACAACAGTAGTGTAAAACGGATGAAGGTGAACTCCAAGAAAGCTTATCCAGTTACCTTAAAAAATAGTGATTGTGGGCAGGTATATGCTGTTATTAGTTTTTGCTGGTGATGGATATAATATGTATGGCCTTCAGGGGAGAAGGGCATAAAACCAAAATAGGTATCTTGCCAAATCCTAGTGTGCCAAATAGAACAGCTTGGTTTCTGCAGCTCCTAGTCCTCAACATGCCAGAGATTAAAAGTATTTATCTGAGCTGGAGCCTAAAATAATTGTAAAGAATAAAGAATATAAAGCAATAATTAAAATTAATTACAAAGTTAAAGAAAAAAAACTTTGTGTTTCCATATCCTTGTGAGAACAACAAACTGATTTATTAAATTTGTATGCCGCCCATCTCCCCCAACAGATGACTCCAAAATGGGTGACCCCAAATGGGTGATTATGGTATTTCTTCCATCTGGTGCCTGCTAATGATAGGTGTTAGAGTCCCAAACACTTGGAGGGTACTAGGTGGAGGAAAGACCATTTGAAATTGTTGTGCACCCATTTTTTGGGCCAAGTCCCAGACTTGTGTACTGAGATGCACTCCAAAACACCAATTCAAAGTAAGGAGCCAGGTCAAAAATTAGGCATGATTCAAATTCAGTTTAAAGGAAGTTTAATTGGCATAAATTATAATTAATATGATTACTCCCCATGTGCTGAATGTTGTTTTCCTTTTTTTATATCATCATCACATTACTATCATCATCTTATGGAAGTTTCTAGGCGCTCTGGGGCAATCTAGATTTTGGGTGAGCTGTGCGCAGCCTGCAGGCCTACACTTGTTGGCTTATACCTTTTTTTTGGGTGCCTTCGAGTCACTGTTGACTCCTGGCGACAAGTTCCTGCAGTTTTCGTGGCAAGATTTCAGAAGTGGTTTGCCATTGCCTTCTTCCCAGGACTGAGAGAGAGTGAGTAGCCTGAGGTCACCCAGCAGACTTTGCGCTTAAGGTGGGACTAGAACTCATGGTTTCCTTGTTTCTAGTCGGTGGCTTAACCACTACACCGTACTGGCTCTCTCTATACATAATAGTTTTATTAATTTTCAAAGGATCACAAGATTTTTTAAAAAGTTATTTAATATTATTTGCTTTTTGGGCACACAGAGTACTGTGACAATATTTCTTTGTGCTCCAGATATGTTGGACTATGGCTCTTATCTCCAGTCAGCATGACTAATAGTTGTATTGGCTAGGTTTGATGAAGATTGTGGCCCAAACCATAGAAGAGTTCCATACTGGGAAAGGCTGTAGTAGAGTAAATCTGTTTGTTCTGTACCTTTTAATGTCGTCAGCTGAACAGATATATAATACGTGAATAATCTGTTTGAAGCTGTGTGTCAGTTGTGAGGAATTGTGCAAATATTTTGAAAGCTACAAATCAGTAAGAAAAAAAATAAGTATGCTTCCCAGTGGTATTATTCATCCTAATGTACCTAATCCATTTTATCTGTATGAAACACAAATGAACACATAAGGCCAGATATAAATAAATAGTTGTAACATAACGGAATACAACATAACTGTATTTCTGCTTTTCTTGGATATATTAATAATTTCAAATTTTAACAAAATTTCAAGTTAAATACAATTTTCAAATTACAGGTAGTCCTTGGTTAATGGCTGCCCTGTTTAGCAACCGTTCAAACTTATGATGCTACTGAAAAAGTAGATTTATGACGAGTCCTTGCACTTACAACCATTGCAGTGTCCCCATGGTCACGCAATTGTGATCTGCGAGCTTTATAGTTGGCTTCCACCAAGCAAAGTCAATGGAAAAGCCAGCAGTAAGCCACAAGTCATGGTCACCTGTCACATTTAACGACCGCAGGTGATTTGCTTAATGACTGCAGCAGAACTGACATGGTCAGTCTGGCATTATCATGTGATGTTTCACTCAACAACTGCACCGTTTAGTGATGGAGTTGCCAGTCACAATTGCGGTTGTTAAGTGAGGACTACCTGTACTCTAAAATATTTCTTGTTATGTTGAAAGAGGCAATTATGCATTCTGTTTTGGTTTGGTAGTGCATTCTGAATAAGCACTGCCCTCCACACAACTTAACAAGCTTGTAGTATCTCAGAGTAAATAATTTATATGAAGATATAGAAAGATAATTCTTTGAAACGAAGGAAAATTGTGCCTAGGTTCTGTGAAGAAGGTTATTCTTCCATTTTGTCACATCCCTGAGAATAATTCTATCAGCTGTCATTTCTTCCCTAATCAGGGGGAGAACAAGAAGTCCTGCATATTCACTTTCAGACACTACATCTGAATTAGGTAAAATAAGTGACCATATGAAGTATAATAAATATCTGAATAAGCCTGATAACTTGTTCATAAGGATACATGGTTTATAGGCAGGCCGATAACTGTATAACTTATCTTCCAAAATTATAAGCATGTAGCTAGAATTTTAATCTCATTTCTAAATTTAAAAAAGATCAAATATGCACAGGTGTTAATAATGTAACTGGGGTTGATTTACTTTGTGTATTTAAAATGACATTAGAATTAAATGAAGTTTTTTAATTTTGGAAGAAAAAAAATAACGTTGGCCGTGGGGATGGGAATTCGTCCCAACACATCTGAAGGGCACCAAATTAAGGATGCCTGTGTTAATTCATTGCATTAACTCTCGGTTAAAAGTTGTATTATTTAACCAGTATTCAATGAAAGGCAATATGGCTAACATTTTATGCAAGGAATCTGGAAGTGCGTGAAAACCCTACCTAAATAGATTTCTCTTCTACTTCCACTACAAATATTTTAGAACAAAAATAGTCTACAAGTCTTCAGCAGGAAGAAAAAGACCCACCCCTGTAAATGTATCAGTTGTTTCCACCCAAACTTTATAAAATTATTAATTGGCCCCATATTACATGCTTGGATTAAAGTTTTGAAAAATATTTTAAAATTGTATGCTTACATGGAGCTATCTTAAATGGAAAATCATAGCCATAGGGGAAGAATGAATAGGATCAGAAAGGCAATGTGTGGGGAATGGATATTAACTTTTTCTCCCTACATTACAATCCAAATAAAGCTGTTGCTGAACCAAAGTAGCAATTCCTTCCTGGAATCAATAACACAAGGAGGTTTTGGGGGGATAGGATATTTCAGGGGAATTGTGAAATTATATTTTAACACATCAGTCCCTTAGGCTCTTACCTCACTCAAACAGAGCACTTTTTCTCCTAAAAGTTAGATAAACATGATACATTCTTAAGCCTGGGTGCAGGAGATTTTTTTCAGTATGCAGACTTTCACAAAGGCTCCCTTTTATCCTGGCTAGGTTTGCAACCCATACTTCTACATGTCACAGTAAAAAGCTTACACAGTTTAAGCTGTAGTAGCATAGTTCACACATAATGGCTAAGACACGAGCAAACCAGTCAAAGTATGGGCTTTGAGAAACAGGCCATCAAATCTCCTGAACTCAGAGGAAGCCTCTGCTGATCACCAAATGACTTTCCAGCCAGAACAGCCTTCTGTTGAATGGCAAGAGAATCACTCTTGCCATTCAAACTGCCTCATCAGTGAGAAAAGGTTATAGAAAGCTAATATTGTAGGAAATAGCTGCTCCAGGGAAAAAAAATCTGCAAAGATGGAGGCAGCCTCAAAATTCCTTGCTTAATTCCTGAAGT